CCCAACCCGAAGACCCGAATTTGACCCCAATTACGGGTTGGGGGGGGTACGGGCTCCCTGTGTTTTTTCAACGTTCCCCGACACCCCCCCCACTGGAAATGGAGGGCAAATTGAGGGCTTCGGGTTGGGTTGGGGTGGTTTGGTGGGTGGTGATCAGGGCCACAACAGACTGGAACATCATAATGCTCGAGTCTGGCCGGAACGCAGGCCTCGAAACTCTTCCTGGCGATCAGGGCTAAAAGTAGCTCGGAACATCCGACTGCCGGCCGCCTGCCCGGACGGCACGCCGAAGAAACGACGGCCGGCTTCGCTCTGCCGTCTCCGCCTTCCGGAAGCCGCTCCTCGGACCCCCGGAACCGTCAGCACACCACTCCTGGCCATCGCTCGGACGTCCATTCCCTGTGCTTGGTTTTCGTGCGGCCGGCCTTTTTCGGATTCGTGCGTGGTTTTTCTCGCCACGTGATCAAGAATGCTCCTCGACGGTCCTCGCCGAAAGAAACATGCACACGTCCGAGCGATGCCGAGACTCAGGATGAGAATCGGGCCCCTCGGCCCAGACCTCCCACGATACGACTTGTTCCGCTGGCGTGCTGCTGTCGGGCCCCAGCACCATCGGCATCGGATCGGGGACCAACCTTTTTGACTCGCGGGTCGAGAGCGCACCTCTTGTGGTCGAAGCTAAGCGGGCCGCGCGGAGCTTGAAGTAACAGAGAGGGGGGGACAGACCCCCCCTCTTTCGGGGACCAAGCGAGCGACTCCTGGGGAAGGACGGAGAGCCCACGACAGGCCTGAACATACACGATTGGAGCTCCGCGCGGATTCCTTTGGCATTAAAGCCCCTCCGAGGAGCCCGCGCCGAGCTCTGGAAGTTTAGGTGTCTGCCGTCTCTCCCTCCTCGAGGCAAGGGGTCGGGACCTCTGGGGCCGCACGCGGAACAGATCTCGCATCGCAGGATGTCAGGGCTCGCCTCATGCTGTTCCAATCGTACGTATGAGCCACATGCCGGAGAAAACACATCGAGCACCCAGCACATGACGAGACAGCGTCTGCCCGACACGGGGGCGGAGTGTCCAACGAGCCTCGCCTCCCCCGGGCCCGGCACGTGAACACCCTCCGATTTCGGTGCTTTCTTGGTGCTCGAGATTCTCTCTGATGATCAGAGCCACAGCAAGGGCTCCTAAGTTCGCGCTTCGCGCTGCGCGAAGCGCGAATAACTTCGCGCTCTCGCGCCGCCCCCCAAGGGGGAGAATAGGAGGACGAGGAGGAGGGGGAGGAGGAAGGAGGACGGCGAAGCGCGAAGCGCGAATAACTTCGCGCCCTCGAGGGAGCCCTTGATCATGATGCTCGAGAGTCTGAGGCCTCGGGGCAGGTCCGGGGCCGACTCCGCTCGCTGGCGTCCACCTCGGAGGTCCACGCACGGGGCGACCCCAGCTCGACCCAGCCCGCGGCAAACCCGCGACCCGCCCACACACTGGCTTGAACGGGTCGGCACCATCGAGCGGGGGCCGACCGTCCTGGCCTTCCTACAGGCCTACCAACCAAAACAAGTTACTAGTACCCAGAACTGCTCTCATAACACAAAGCCGATGCGTTGAAAGAAAACAGCCTCGGCCAGAAATGCTCCAATAGCATTTCGTGCAAAACAAAAGAGATGATCAAACACCCTTTGGTGGGCCTAATTATAGGCAGGCTGAGACGCTTCGCCTTGGCATCAGCGGCGGAGGGTCACATCCCCCAGAGCCCCGACGCCAAGAATTTGTCATAACGTCGACCCTGGAGGTCTGGACCCCTTCCCCAGGACGGGCTTTTCATCCAGAGTCGTCTTTTTACGCTCCAAAGGCCCAGCGAGGGCCCCCAGAGGTCCCAAATGGAGAAAAACCTCCCGTCGTGATTTGTTCCGTCGACCCATTCCCCAGCACGGGTTTTTCATCCTGAATCGCCTCTTCACGCTCCAGAGGCCCCCAGAAGCCCGAAATTCCGTCGTGATGTGTTCCTTTTGGACGCCCGAAATGGGCACGGAAAGAATTGGTACAATGCCCAACAACAAATGTTGTCCCAAACCAACAGCGGCCGCTGTTGGGCAGGCGGCCTCCTGTCTCGAATGGGCACCGGCCGCGGCGGCGCGGACAGCGAGCCCAGCTCAAAGTGAACAGGAACTGCTGTTGGGCATCTTGCCCATTCTTTTCGTGCCCACTTCGGGCGTCCAAACTGGTGGCGGATGACGAACCAACACGCACCCATACCCATAGAGGGGTCGGAGAGGGCTATGGGTGCGTGTTGTCGGATGGGGTCCCCGCTCGAACGGGAGCGTTGCCCAGGGTCCGACAACCCGCACCCATACCCATAGCCAGTCCTCCTCCCAACGACCCCCCTGTGGGTATGGGTGTGTATTGCTCGTTCGTCAGCGGAGATGTCAAGCGCCGCCACGCCGGCGGCGCGCCTCCCCCCCTGCGGCGCCCTCGGCGGCGAGCTCCCGCAGCCGGGCGGCCTCGAGCCGGGCCTCGCGCGGCCGCGGGCGCGCTCGAGGGGCCGCGGAGGGCGCTTCGGCGCGCGCCGCGCGCTCGGGCGGGAAGCGGGCGGCTCACGCAGCACGTGTGGGCCATTCTCGGACATGCTCGCGTTTTTGGGCGCGAATTCCAAGTTTAAGTCGGGCGTGTCCCCCTACACGGGGATTTTCGACGAGGGATTTTCGACGAAAAATAAAAAATACCCCAAACATGCTATACTAAAATCCGAACATAATCTAGGGTTGATTGTTTGGATTATTATTTGACCTTTTTGGTGCATTTTTGGGGTATGTTTTATTTTTTCGTATGTCGTATTTTTCATCGAAAATCCCCCTGTAGGGGGACACGCCCGACATAATTCTAGTGGGGGCGACAAGTCTGGGAGACGAGCGGTGCCCCTGGTCGAGCCCTGCAGGCCCCCTTCTGGGGCCCGGACGGGGCCCCTTTCCGGGGGCCCCAGGAGGAGCCCTTTCTGCAGCCCTTGCTGCCCCCTCCCAGTCCTGGAGCAGGGGCCGGCCGTCCTGGCAGTCCTGTAGGCCTACCACGACATGTGCCTACCTAACAGACAAGCCCCAACCCAACCCGAAGACCCCAATTTCGGGTTTGGGGGGGGTACGAGCTACTTACGTTTTTTTTCAATGTTCCCCGACCCCCCCAACTGGAAATGGAAGGCAAATTGAGGCCTTCGGGTTGGGTTGGGGTGGTTTGGTGGGTGGTGGACATGTTCTCAGAACCCTAGAAGTAAGTCGGGCCTGTCCCATCTACAGGGGGGTATTCGACGGATAATTAAACATACACCAAAAAACAAAAAGGTGACAACCTACTCAAAAAAAGTCCCCGGACTATTTTTGGATTTTGTTTTGTCATGTTGTATCTTTCGTCGAAAATCCCCCTGTAGGGGGACACGCCCGACTTAACCCTGGAATGTTGTAATGACAAAGCAATGTTCCTATGACATAAGTCTCGATGTTTTCAAACAAGACAGTCTTTGCCAGAAATGGTCTAAGAGCGTGTGGTGCAAATCACAAAAAAAAGTTCAGTAGAATATTCTCTGGTGGGCCGAAAGGCAAGCCAGGACGCTCGCCCCCCAATTTCGCATCCTCCGAGCGCCGTGAACAAAAAAACACGACAGGAGGTGCTTGACCGTCTTCGGCCCCGGGGGCTCCTTTTGCTGGGCCCCCGGGCCGTCAAACCACGGCTCGGGGTGGCAAGTCTGCCCTGCTGGGGAGACGCCGATTTGGCGAAGCTCTCCGTCAAAAACCGCATCCGAACTCCGAATCACAGTGCGCGTCTGTTCCGGGTCACTCGTTTGGTGCGACTTGTTCACGTCGTCAGCATACACACGCAGTGACAGATCACACTCTCTACCTGTGATGGGGCATGTGGCACACAGATCATGTGGGTGCCGCTGGCTTAGTTGCGACGTCCAGCTCTGGACCGGCACACTGACAGCATCCCGAAACACTGTTGCTGCACCCACGTCCCCTTGAAGACTTGCCGTCCCATTTTGGAACCATTGGTTAATACCGTCGGCCTGCACAGGAAACATAGCATCCCGGTGCTGCTGGCACACGAGAGGGGCATCGTCCTTGTGGTAGATTATGTAGGCTGCGTCGTCCGAGCGCGGGTGCACCACAGACGCAATAGCATTTGCCATGTCGTGCTTGGCATCAACCACTGATATGCGAGCGGCCCTCGCCCTCCACCCAAGCACGGCCGTGGTCCTGATAGCTCAAGATCGCGACCTGCCCTTGAGATAGTCGTATTCTTCGTCGGGACTTTGGGGGGCTCCACGTCGGGCCGATTTGACCCAGGCTTTGCCGAAAGAGCAGAGGCCGTGGAGCGGTCGTGTGCCAAACGTGCGCGCCTTCCCGTTGAATTTGGGAACCTGGTAGGTCTGGGACTGGTTCCACTGCGTCAGACGCCGCCCTCGCCCTCGAACCCCGGAGAAAATTGTCGTAACCCATTCGTTGAACAATGGCCTTGGGGGCTCAGCGGGGGCCGCTCCGAGACCAGCCGTACAGTAGTCGTCGTAGGGGTTGGACGGCTGGACACGAGAGAAGGGCCCAGACCTCCGAGGGGACCGACCACAAGGCACTGCTGCCCGGCGTCGTTTTTCCCAACTCTGCATCGCTCGGCGAGGCGTTCTCTCGGTCGATGTTTTGGCTCGCAGCCAGTCCTCGTCCGACAATTGGGTGTTGGTGGAGCATCTCCTTTTTTTGGGGGGGGGCGCCACGGCAATGCGCAGAAGAAATCAGAAAACGGTGCCGGCGCGCGCGCGCTCCCCCCACGCAGACCAGGTGTTGGTGGAGCATCTCCCGAGAGCGGTCTTCCTGGACGGGGCCGAGTCTTGAGCTTCTGCGTATAGACCTCCTCGCCGTGCCTGAGCTCCTCCACCTTCTGCTTGAAGGTGTCCAAGACGTCCGAGAGCGCCACGACGAGCGAGTGAGGACGACGGATGGAGAGGGCCTGCGACACGAGCCGCGAGAGGAGGGGGGAAGATGGGAGGAGGTACTGCAGGCGCGAACGCATTATGTACTCGTAATCCCCTAATGAACGTCCCCTGGGTCCAGTTTGTTAGTGCGCCTTTTGTGGAAGCATGGGGGTCCGGTTTACTTGGACGGTTCCTTAAAATCGAAGCTTCGGGGGGTCCGGTTTATTTGGGTGCCTTCGCGTACTTTGTCTTCTGCTCAAAGTTATGCGGATGTCCGTGCGGCTCTGTTTTCGTGGCCACCGATTTGCGAGTCATCATCTTCAGCAGCATCAGCATCAGCATCAGCATCCTCATCGTCATCATCACGATCATGATCATGATCCTGATCATGACCATCATCATCATCATCATCATCATCATCATCATCATCATCATCATCACCATCACCATCACCATCACCATCACCATCACCATCAGCATAATCGTCGTCATCGTCATCGTCATCGTCATCATCATCGGGAACGTCGTCGTGATCGTCATGCTCATCGCCATAATGATGATTAGCGTCGCTGCGTTACCATCGCCACAACTCATCATCACAATCACCATGACCACCGGCAAAATCATCACCATGATCCCCGCCAGAACCCATAGTCATCGTCGTCCTCCTCCTCCTTCTATCATCGTCATCATCCTTCTCACAACCTCCATCGGTAATGATAGTGTCGGCCTCGTTGATACTTCATGGTGTACGCGTGTATTACACAATGGCGGGTTCACAAGATCTGCCAGTGTCGCTGTTGTTAGCCCGCGCCGCTGCTTTTCGCTAGCATTGCTGTCTCCAGTCCTTGCATAATCACCCATATCATGACTTAAGGTCTTATAGTACTGGTCGTTTGGACCACACCGCGATCGTCCCTTGCCGCAAATTTCTCATCAATGGCTTCGTTTGAAAGCGTTTTTGGTGTATCAACCTCCGCGTTCGAAGCGCGATCCGTCGCCGTCGATTTCACCCTCGCGGCCGACATCATGCACACATGCAATTTCAGAGGGGGGGTCCGGAATATTAAGGCTCCTCCCTTCGAGGGGGGTCAAGAAAATAAAGCTGCCATTGAAGGGGGGGCCAGATTTTTAGGGACGTTCATGAAGAGATTGCGAATAGCGGTGGCGAGGGGCAAGAGGTGGAGGGGAGGCCTCAGTGAATTGGTGGGCTGCTGGTCCTGCTCCTCATCCTCTCCCTCTCCTCAGTCCTCTCACTTCTCACCCTCCTGCCTCACGCCTCACTCCTCCTCCTCCTCCTCCTCCTACTCCTCCTCCTCCTCGGTCGGCCGGTCAACCAAGAAGGGTCAGAGGCGATGCACAATCCGTGCCATAAAGAGGGTGAGGAAAGGCGAGGTGCAACGCAAACAGTGCAGGAGAGACTGCGCATCCGAGACGCCTGCACAGGAGGCTCGCCTCGCACCATGCCGGCCCCCCCATGGGTGCCCAGGCCCGCGGCACAACGTGTGCCCCATGACCGCCAAGAGGGAGAAGCCCAGGCTAGGGGAACAAGCGAGGAACGAACGAACGAACGAACTGTCATCGCCGCAGAGGGCGACCCAAAGATGGGCGACAGGCGTGCTTGAGCACGCTGGCCCTTCGGAAAAGGACCGCGAGGACTTTTCGGATCGGCGCTGGGCACCCCTCCCTGGCGCGCGGAGCGCCCCAGGGGCGGCGCCCGAGGCGCCGCTCGGGGGCCCGAGCGCAGAGCCGAGGACTCCGCGCGAACCTCCGAGTTTTCATGTTTCGAGGAGGAGGAGGAGGAGGAGGAGGAGGAGGAGGAGGAGGAGGAGGAGGAGGAGGAGGAGGAGGAGTCATCCTTTGCTCCCCTCTGGGTGGCGGCTCCTCAGTCTCTGCCCCTCCCGTCCTCCCGCGCCCCGTCGTGCCCCCGAGCTGCTTCCGGCGCGCCCCGCCCGCTGCTCTGACCAGCACCTGCGCCAGCCTCCCCACACCCCCGACGTCGTGATTTGTTGTCACGACGTCGACCCCCAGAGGCTTGGACCTCCTCCCAGGGAGCGGATGTTCGTCCTGAATCTTTCTTCCCAACCATCCTGTGGTGCTGGGTCCTCGTTTTGAAGAGACAGCGCCCCGCGTTCCTTCCTTCCGTCCTTCCTTCCTTCATCTCCTCCTCCCCGCGCTCTCCCGCTCCTCCCGCTCCTCCTCCCTCCCCCCTCCTCCCCTCCTCCTCCTCCTCTCCTCCTCCTCTCCTCCTCCACGTCATCGTCATCATCATCATCATCATCATCATCATCATCATCATCATCATTCATCATCATCATCATCCATCTCATCATCATCGTCATCATCATCATCATCATTCATCATCCATCATCATCATCATCATCATCATCATCATCATCATCATCATCATCGCATCATCATCATCATCATCATCATCATCATCATCATCATCATCATCATCATCATCGTCATCGTCATCATCATCATCATCATCATCATCAGCATCATCATCATCACCATTACCATTACCATTAGCATCACCATCATCATCACCATCAC